TTACGTTTTACAACGGAGTATCGCCATGCCAAGCACGCACAGGACGTCAGCCCTCCTTTCTTCCTGACCTCGACACCCTTGACTTCCCCAAGGGACCCGAGACATCAGGACACGAACGAGAACGTCGTGTGAGGGAAGTTAGCCTAGAAGCCATAACTCAAGCCACTGCTGTGGCCAAGACAAAGCGTGCTCTTAGGGCTAAAGCGGCTCCTGATGGTGCTCGCCTTTACTCTGCAGGGGATTTGGTCGACTACCATCGACCCACTGCCACTAAGGACGATCATGGAGGCTTGAATGGCCCATTCCCGGTGATCCGTAATGTGCCTGAAAGAGGACATATTGTTGTCAAGGCAGGATCTCGTGAGGTAATTGTGATGTATCCTGATGCTCGTCACACACTATACATCGAATGTCTCCTCGCACGGGAACTTGGCATGGATAATATGGCCATGCGAACCGTCCTTACATATGTGGCACACCTCGGCGCAGGGAAACCTGCCAAAGTTTTCGGCTATATCCCAGATTACAAGGGAACCCTCAATCTTTCAGACGACAGCAAGTTTCACCCTCGCGTACATCTGGCACTACAGTATCTCGTGCGAAACTACTTCCGAGTAGAACATGTAGTAGCAGTTATATTGGCCAAAAGTGTGTCAAGCTTACTTGCAGTAAAGTACGCCACCGGGACTACGCTGATCCACTATGACAACGATATCAGCCCAGCTTTTCACTACTACGAGTGTGTGGGCACCGGCCTAAACATTTCTCAGATCACTGGTAGCACTCATTCCAGACTTATTCAATGCTTGACTTCACGTGTCCCTTCCTCAGGATTTCACGACGACCTGGCTAAACATCAGCACTCAAGCAACACGTCTGGAGAACACGATTCGCCTGGAAACATGCCTCCTCCAGATACCCCAGGTGCTTCATCGCCGAGTGAAGGCCGTCTGTCGACAATCTATGAGGAAAATGAGGAACATAATATCGAAGCTATGATGCTGGAAGAGGGGTACGACGAACTACGCATGGATCTTCATCCCACGACGACTACCGACGATTATCTCTACTGCGTCCCAACAACCATGCTGCCCGACCGATGTGTTTTGGTTTCAGCATCTGTGGACGAAGAAGATACCATATCATCGGACACGCTCGGAGACGAGCCTGAACCACGAGAGCCTTGTCTAGTCTCTCTCTGCTCAACCACACCTGACGAGAGCTACTCTCTTGACAGTGATGAATATGGTCCTTACGTTGAGTTATGTTTTGCATCAGAAATGTCAAAAGTAGTGTTGGATCAGACTCAACTTGCACAGCTCGACACTGATATGGTCGCAACGATGAGAGTATATGTATCCTCTGCTGCTAAACGTGCTGTAGTCGTTAAAGAAGATAACCTACTCACCAAAGCCGACATAGCAGCACATCCAAGGGAGGTTAGTGAAGCTTTGTACACTGAACTCAAAATCTGGATTGACAACCGATGCTTTGAGATGTATGATTTATCCAAAGCTTCCAACATCATGACATCCAGGTATGTATACAAGTGGAAGTTTGTAAAGGTGGGTACCGAGAACGTTAAAACCATTCGTCTCAGACTTGTCCTTCGTGGATTTATGGATACTAAGGCTTTCGACGTGGAAACATTCTCGGGAACCGCCCGAAGGCAGTCCCAACGACTCCTGGCAAGTGAGGCGGCATGCCATCCAGAGTGGATCTTAGTATCCATGGATATCGACAAGGCGTTCCTCAAGGGTTTGACTTATGAGGAACTTGCCCGTGCCACCGGCGAGGAAACTCGCATGGTCTGCTTCACTCTTTCACCGGGAAGTGCCCAGGTACTTCGTACACTACCCGGCTTCTCATCTTATGACGAAAGCCGACACTGCCTCAGGTGCCTCAAACCAGGAACGGGTACAAAGGACGCTCCAATAGCGTTCTCTCTCAAACTTCGTACGACCACACGAGCTATAGGCCTTGCACCGACCAGTTACGACCCTGAATTTGAATTCAGCCAAGATCTGCTAACGGCAAAACATGTCGATGATATTAACATGACAGGCCTAGATAAAAATATAGACGACTATGTACAGCGTGTCGAAGTTTGGCAAATGCAAGCTCAATAAACACTCATACACGAACTGCGCCGTTCGCTACACTAAGAATGATCAAGGGGATGTGATCATGGATCAGGACGAGTATATCAAACAACTACGTCCTATCGCACACCCAGAACTTACAGGAGCGGCGGCCGATGCCAAAGCCACGAAACTCATTGCCGACATGTTCGTCAGGTTGCGAGGAGCCCTCGCCCATGCCCTTCTTACTTAAATCTGGCTCATGGTATACGTGGTCTCTCTCCAGAAAATCCAAGAGCCCACCAATCTGCAAGTCAGACGTCTGAATGCTGTGACGCGAAAGCTGGTCAGCAGCCCGAAACGCATCACCTTCCCTCGGATGAAGCCCACGAATGAAGTTGACATCCACAGCGATTCGGGGCATCGGAAGCTCACCGGGGAGGAGGATGATGAGACCAAGGGCTACGGCATACGCGGGGCTAATGTACTACGGCGAGGAAACTCGCCTCAAGGCAAGTCCGTCGTTCACCTCTGTGACGGACTATGCAAATCACACCGACTGCAGGTGAGGTCCAGCTATGCTGCGGAGGCACTCGCAGCTGCGCATAACCTTGATGAGTGCTACCCTACGCTCATCGCACTCCACGAGCTCAAGGCAGGAGCTCTGACTCCACGACAACTACGAGATATGCGTGAAGTTTGAGGCCTAGCCATCAAAGTATCTCTTACCATAGACGCTGAGTCCGTTCATAAATCATTATCAAGCAAGGATCTTAAGATACCGACAGAGCGGACTCTGCTTGGACATATCAGTTGGATACGTGAGCTCATGGATATAGGTACAGTACATAACGTGCAGTGGTGTGATACTAGGGATATGACCGCGGACGGGCATACAAAGGGAAGCATCGATCGGGAGCTGCTTCTGGAAGTAATGTCAGGCACTCAGTCATTCAAGTATGACGTGAAGCAGTTTGTTCCTTTTCGGGGTCCCGAGGACAGAAGCAAACCTAAGTCTAATCAATTTTAGTCTGTCCTTGTTGCCCCCCCGCGGTCCAATTTGCCAGCATGGGCGCCTACTACAGAGGCGCCCTTCTAGTTGCTCGGAAACGAGCCTTACATTTCACGCCTGGCAACGAGCCGGCTTTATATGACTCAGGCTCTTTGCCTCAATACCTATTTGCTCGGTGAGGCATGGCCCGTTTGGCTTACCTCTAACTGAGCCGATAGCCCTTCATCGTTCGAAGGGGCTATCTTGTGTTTGCGTGAAATGCCTTGCGAGGAAACTCGCCTTACAGTCTGGTGTTAGGCCAGACTGTACACACTGTTTTCTTTCTTGCAAACAGTTGTGCGCGCGGCCTTTGCAGAGCCTAGCGGCTGCGCGGCTATGCTCTCCGTCTCCTCCCCTCCCGACTTTAAGGGTAGCTCTTTGGGAGATGTTATAGCATCGGGAGCATAGCTCGCGCGCCGTTGCCTTGGGCTCAAGGCACGCGCGCCCTATTTGCCCGGACACTTACCTTAGTGTTCGCTATGTGCTGGAAATACCGATACATCGATCTTATCCTATCATAGCCATCCACTCCCCATATCGTATTCTTTCGACATGGAATTGGATGCAATGTGAGCTCATCCGCCTCCCATGGAGACGGATGCTATTTGACCTACCAGGCTCACTTTCGACTAAGTCTGCTGCCGAATGACTGTGGGTGCACGACCGATGACCGACCACGGACGACGGACGACAGTGACGACCACGACGGTCAACGACGGACGACAACGGTGGCGACGACGACAACGAACACGACGACGACGGGGAACGACGACAGGGGCAGGGCCGTCCAGGTGCCGACTGGAGGCCATCTGGAACCCCCCTGGGCTTCGGCGAACAAGCACGGAACACCCTTTGTTGTTTTTGTGCTGTCCGCCGCGCTCGTTTGCGAGTGGAGCCACCCCCATTGGTCACCACGCAGAAGTTGAGAGACGCATCGAGCACCCTTGCAGCACCAGGCAGGATTCCTGAAGGTGAGACAGCGAGGACATTCGGCGGGAAATCATCGCCGGGGGTGAGGATATCCCGGGTGCCCGATTGCGCCAGTCCGCCGACTCTAGAGGAAGATGTGTGTGGCTTCCAATTCGGCATGTGTTGTGCGCTCCACTTACTTCTCCGCGTCTGGTGCGGGGCTCGGTGATTGTTGGAGGCCTCTTCGAGCTTTTTTCAGGGCTCCTGGAGTCTTTGGTGGACCTTCCGCATGTTTCTTGGGGCCCTCTTGAGGACATGTTGGGATTACTGGTGGCAATCTTGCGGGAAGGGCCCCCATGGCCCCTGCGAGCTCCCTCTCTTGGGTCTCTCTTGAGCCCCATGTTGGGAATATTGAAGGCCATGGGTGGTGGTTTGGGAGGTCCTGGAGATGCGATGATGAGTTTGGACTCCCCGGGAGGACGAAAGGGGGGGGGCGCGAGGTGGGGCAGCTAGAAGTCTCGCACGCCTTCTCACCCCCGGCAAGCGGGGGTCGGGGCGGATTTTCCTCTGCTCAGCGCTGGTACGCTGTGCTGCACGCGCGCCCATTGGTGGGGGATCTTGGGAAACTTTGGCAGATGATAGGCACTGCAGCTACTGCTGCTGCCCATGCCCCGTCGCCTGTACCGCAATGAAGCTGCAGCTCTACAGCCAGAGCTTGAGTTCAGAACGATCTTGAAACGATGCGCTTACGGTAAAGCGACCATCATGAACAAACGTTTTTGGGGGTCTGCGTGGATGTTTGGGATCGGGCCTGTCGGACCCTCTGGCCCCGCCCCTGGCATCTCCGCACGCCATGGAGGGATGTCCAGGCATCCACGTGGACCGTCGAAACTATATGTTTATGCAGCTTTGTTGTTCTTCTACGTTTGATGTGATCGATGGATTACGCACTGCCCAAGGCATGCACGCCGAAGGGCGATAGCACCGTGCAGGCGCCAAATCCGGAGGCCTGCCGCGGGGGGATCGGACGGCAAGGGACGCGGGCGAGCCAGAGGCAGGGGAGGGAGGAACAGGGCGGAGAGGGGAGGACGGAGGCGGGCGGGAGAGGATACTGCAGGGAAGGGGAGGAGGAGAAGGAGGAAGGGGAGAGGAGGAGGAGGAGGAGGAGGAGGAGGAGGAGGAGGAGACGGAGGATGAGGCGGACCAGTGCAAATCCACGATAAATCAATGACGTTGTCACAAACCCGCCACCCAAGCTCCGTCTGCATCGGCCCCTTCAAATATTCACTTCCACTGAAGGAAGTGCCCCGTTGGGAGGCAACCGTTTGAAGATCCTGAAGCTTGCCCCACGAATCAGCGTAACGGCTGCGCCCTGGTAATATTGAGTCGTTTCAGCCACCGTTTCTGGTACGTTAAACATAGGGGACGCTTGCGCATGTTCAGAGATGACTGCGCGCAGCGCTAAGGCGAGAGCCCTATTCTGAACATAGCAGCCCTATATATGTGAAACTGCTCCAGACGTTGCGACGAATGTACGCGGCGCTGATGCGAGAGCCACATTTTGAAAACGACCCGCCTCCCATCCGTGCATCTTCTTCAGTTTTTCGAAACGAATGCGAGTGGCGCACGGGCGACAGCCACATTTTGAAAGCCACCCACCCTCCAGTTGTATTAGTTGCTATGCTTCAGGGCCATGAATTCTATGGAAGTCTGAGCCAAACGCCCGGCCCGCCCTTCTGACTGGCTTCGGGGTGCGACAGGGAGGAGTCATTTAAAGGAGTGGCTGAGGAGGAGGTAGTGGAGGAGGCGGAGGAGGAGGAGGAGCAGGAGGGAGAACGAGGAGGGCGTAGGCGAATGGGGGATGGATGAGGACGAAGGAGAACACATGTTTGATGATGATGACGACGATGATGATGATGATGATGATGATGATGATGATGATGATGATGATGATGAGGATGAGGATGAGGATGAGGATGATGATGATGATGATGATGATGATGATGATGATGATGATGATGATGATGATGATGATGATGATGATGATAAGCAGGAGGTGGAGGTGGAGGATGAGTAAGAGGACCAGTGTAAATTCGAGATGCATTAACGATGTTGCAATACACCCGCCGTCCAAGTTCTCTCTCCATCGGCTTTATTGCTGGAAGTGACCCAGTAGAAGATAAGTGTCTGAGAACCTTCGATCGTACGAACACGCAGCGCCCGCGACTCCGGCGACGCGGGTCAACGTGATTTTCGCGTCGAGATATTCTTAAATTGTGCTAGAGTGCTTGTCCAGGGACTTCAATGTCGCTGATCAGTGTGACTGGTGCGATTCGACAATCCTAAACCGCTCCAGAACACAATTCCTTGGACTTTGACCTTGCGAGTCCTTGAAAAGGTTGTACGTACGCTTTGAAGCCGAGTGTGCTCGGCGTCAGGGCGAGAGCAACAGGTTGAGAAGGGACCGCCCGCCACTTGTGAAGCTGCAACAGACGTCTGAACTAATGTACGCGGCTCCGAGGCGAGAATCACCGTTTGAAAACCAACGCCCTACATGTGTGAAGCTGTTGCAGAGTTGAGACGAAGTGTGCGCGGCGCTGATGCGAGAGCCACATGTTGAAAACGTGTTGGTCCTCCATCCGTGAAGCTGTTGCACATTGTGAGACACATGCGCACGGTGTTGGGGCGAGAGCCACATACTGAAAACGGCACGCCTTCCATCCGTGAGACTTTTGGAATTCTTGACGTTTCGCGTATCTCCACTATCGGTTGGGAGTTTCGTTTCTGGCTCTTCTTCTGAGTGGCTGCCCGCGCGCTCGCTTTGCTTGCCTCTTTTTGCTTGCTGCCTAGTCGCGGCCCCACTAGTGTTCGGACGGTTTTCAACCTGCTTCGCGAGCCCGCAGAAAAAACGTATCTCCACTAGCCCATTCCAAACCGACGCCCTCACGGACTGAGGCGATCATGGAAGAGTAGGTGCAGCAATGGGAACAGTCGTTTTGGTTCCAAGGAGGTGGAGGTGGAGGGAAATGCATGATGGATGGGGGAGAAAAATGATGAGTTTGCGGAGGAGGAGGAGGAATAGGAGGAGGAGGAGGAGGAGGAGGAGGAGGAGGAGGAAGGAATCGTACGTGGAGGAGGACGTGGAGAAGGACGTGGAGGATGAGGAGGAGGAGGAGGACGACGACGAGGAGGAGGAAGAGGAGGAAGCGGATGAGGAGGAGGAACCGGAACAGGAGGAGGAGGAGGAGGAGGAGGAGGAGAAAGAGGAGAAGAGGAGGACGTTGAGGAGGGGGGAAGGAGGAGGCAGAAGAGGAACAGGGCGAGCAACAGGGTTAGATCGAGGGGGGGGGAGTCCGCGGATGTGGAGGAGGAGGAGGACGAGGACGAGGACGAAGAGGCTGAAAAGGAGGAGGAGGAGGAGGAGGAGGAGTAGGATGAGGGAGAGGAGCTGGAGGGCGAGGAGGAGGAGGAGAAGGAGGAGGAGGAGGAGGTATCCACCGCCTGCGCAGGCACGGGGGCCAGCGGCGGCGCTTTCGGAGCCCGCCCCCCACCTGGGGCCGCGGGCCAGCGACAGGAGTTACTACCGGGCCCTTGGGCATCGCTCACAGGGGCAGTGGGCGCATCAGGGGTGCCAACTCCGACGTGCAGCTTAGCCGCGCGCCGGTAGGCCGTTCGCCTCCTCGCAAGTACCAGAGGTTGGAGGGCGAGCACTCGGCCCTCTGAGCCCCATTGAACACAGTCATCTCGCAAGCACAGGCGCGGCCAAGTGATGCCCTCGCCTTGGCTAGCCCGCGCCTGGGCGCCATGGGCGCCTCTTTCCTCGGGGGGTCTGCGGGCCCTTCCAGTGGCTCGCCTCCCACCCCCCGCCCTCGCGGTCGAGCTCCCGCCTCATCTCAGCGCGCGACATGCGATGCGCAATCCGAGCACGGCCAGCGTAAGTTGGGGGCCGGTTCCAAGCTGCTTCGCTCCAGCGGGCCAGCCAACACTCTGGGGCTGGCAGATGCCAGTTCAGCGAGTGAATGCCATCCAGCAGCTCTCACGGCTCTGGACATCGCCGAGAGTGGGCGCGGTCTCGGCGAGAAGATCGGAATCTGTACGGACGGCTCTCGTCTCTCGTCGCATGAAGGAGGGCCAAGCTGCGCGGGCTTTCGTCGTTATCTGCGCGGGACCTGACAGCATTAGGTAGCGCGGCCACTTCAGGGGCTCGGTTTCGGAATTCTTCACGCTTCGCGTATCCCCACCAGCCCATCTCAAAACAGCAACTCTTGCGAAGCATGCCGACAGTCGTGTTTTTCAGGCGTGTTTCCGCCTGCCCCCGCATATCTCCCCTGTTCCTCCTTCCTCCCGCCTCCTTGTACATCCTCCTTGTGGTGGGAGCGGGAGAAGGACGAGGCGGAGGAGGAGGGAGAGAAAGCGCTCCTCGTGGTTTGAGTCGTTTGGGGTTTCTCGTCCTGGTGTGAGTCGTTCGGGCCCTTCTTCCTGGTGTGAGTCGTTCGGGCTCTTCGTGGTGTGAGTCGTTCGGGCTCTTCGTCCTGGTGTGAGTCGTTCGGGCTTCTCGTGGTGTGAGTTGTTCGGGCCCCTCATCCTGGTGTGAGTCGTTCGGGCCCCTCCTCCTGGTGTGACTCGTTCGGGCTCCTCGTGGTGTGAGTCGTTCGGGGCCCTCCGGTAGGGAGGCAGGGAGGCCTTTTGGGGCGTCTTGGGGGCCTCTTGGCGGCCCCAGGGGCTTCTAGGCGCGTCTTGGGTGCCTTGGGGGAGCCTCTTCGGGCCTCTTGGGAGCCTCTTGGAGGCCGTTTGGGGCGTCTTGGGGGCCTCTTGGCGGCCCCAGGGGCTTCCAGGATCGTCTTGGGTGCCTCGGGGGAGCCTCTTGGGGCCTCTTGGGGGCCTCTTGGGGGCCTCTTGGGGGCATCTTTGGGCCTCTTGGGGCTCTTTGGGAGGGGTCTGGAAGGTATCTTGGGGCCATCTTTGGGGCGATCGATCACAGCTGGGGCGAGCATTTTTGTCAGTACCCCCGTCGGGGCCACGATCCTCGTGAGGGATGTCGAATTTTAGCCCTCCCAGGGATAGAAAAAGGACCCTCTGACCACCTGCGAAACCCCCTCTCCAGGTCCAGGGGGAGGGGGTAGGGGGAGGGGTAAACCCCTCCCCGAAGGGAAAGAAGGGGGGTTGAGAACAGAGAGAGCTCGCTAAACCACTCACGCCCAAAGGGCTGGTGGGATTAGTAGTGGTGGTAGTAGTAGTAGCAGTAGTCGCAGTAGAAGTAGCAATAGTAGTAGTAGTAGTAGTAGTAGTAGTAGTAGTAGTAGTAGTAGTAGTAGTAGTAGTAGTAGTAGTAGTAGTAGTAGTAGTAGTAGTAGTAGTAGTAGTAGTACCAGTAGGAGCAGCAGTAGTAGTAGTAGTAGTAGTAGTAGTAGTAGTAGTAGTAGTGTAGTAGTAGTAGTAGTAGTAGTAGTAGTAGTAGTAGTAGTAGTAGTAGTAGTAGTAGTAGTAGTAGTAGTAGTAGTAGTAGTAGTAGTAGTAGTGTAACCAGTATCAGCGGTAGTAGCAACGTAGTCGTCAACGTCGTGGTCGCAGTAGTTGTCTCAGTAGCAGTGGCAGTCACTAGGCAGTGGTCTATATGGTAGTAGTAGTAGTAGTAGTAGTAGTAGTAGTAGTAGTAGTAGTAGTAGTAGTAGTAGTAGTAGTAGTAGTAGTAGTAGTAGTAGTTAGTAGTAGTAGTAGTAGTAGTAGTAGTAGTAGTAGTAGTAGTAGTAGTAGTAGTAGTAGTAGTAGTAGTAGTAGTAGTAGTAGTAGTAGTAGTAGTAGTAGTAGTAGTAGTAGTAGTAGTAGTAGTAGTAGTAGTAGTAGTAGTAGTAGTAGTAGTAGTAGTAGTAGTAGTAGTAGTAGTAGTAGTAGTAGTAGTAGTAGTAGTAGTAGTAGTAGTAGTAGTAGTAGTAGTAGTAGTAGTAGTAGTAGTAGTAGTAGTATAGCTAGTAGTAGTAGTAGTAGTAGTAGTAGTCGTAGTAGTAGT